TTCTGTTTTTGCTTGTTCCCAGAGTGCCAAAGAGCATCCTGGGCATTCTATAACCAAGCACTTTCTCCATTTCTACTTCCCATCAACTCAGGCCTCATTCCCACTCCAAAAATCTTCATATTTTTTAAGCAGCATCTTCTCCACTTCAATCACCTTCCTCCCAAGATTTCAAATTATAATAAAATTTCCACATCTTCTTTGATAACTTCCTTACATCAAATTCATAAATTTCACACTTTTCCCTTGGGAATTTTCGATACCTTCATTCACTTGAATTTGAATAGCATCTGCTTTTCATAAGCATTTTCTAACTCATATTTTCATCACCATACTTGAAATGTGCCACACGGAATTCGAAGTACTTTATTTCTTATAATTTATAAATTTTTTCATCAATAGTTAATGCTAACTACCATTCCAGGGCTTACTCTGCGTATTAAATATTAGTATACCACCTGACATTTATTGTCTCATTTCATCATCTCCAAAAACATTTGAACTGTATATTTTTATTCTCTCCAATTTACAGATAAGGAAACTGAGTATCAGCAAGCTTAGGTCACTCATCCAAAATCACACAGCAAGTAAGAAACAGAGCTGGAGTTTGAACCCACATCCATTTGACTCCAATGTTCATTGTCTAACTTGTGGAAAATTCTATCCCTTTCATCTTACTTTATAAGAGTACCAATTGTCAATTAATACATTTTCATTATTGGAACACTGCACAAAAAAATAAAATTCTCACTAGTTAAAGCAGGCATCTGTCAATTCTGATTCATCCTAACACAAAATACTCAAAAGGATAGAACTCAAGAATTGTTTTGTTCCTTCTTCTACCTTCTCTTCACACTTTTATCAAGCAGTATCCTGTTTCCCAAGAGACCCACGAGTTTTTTTAATTGGTCTTCCCATTGTCATTCCCTCTGTTCCTTTCTCTATCCTAACTACTCTGAATTCATCTTTATTGACAGATAATGTAAATGTGCATAAGATCACTATAATTTGAAATTAGTCTTTACTTTTCGTTCATATTATGATCTCCATATCTTTTAGAGTTGACTTTAATACATGTATTCTTTCTTATCAAATATAATATATTTTATGTATCTGTAACATAAGTATATACATACACTATTTAAGAGTATTAAGTTAGCAGAATATCTTTATTTTATGTAGCTTAGTGTCAATATGTTAAATTTTTTATTTTTATCATATAATGTGTATGTATGTAATTTAATGGTATTAAACCAGCAGTATGTTTTATGTTAAGTAGTTCTCAAACAATGCATACATTGGTTCTTTACTACATTCCTTTTATAACTTTGCTCTCCTTTCCACTTTCACAATTGGAATGTTAGTTATATCTATATCTTCTCAAACACACTAAAGGTTAAAAAGCACAATTACATTTAAAAAAAGAAGAAGAACATGCCATACCTCTACCTATGTGATACTTTCCCTAGAACCCCACTGTCCAATATGGTAGCCAGTAGCTATACCTGGTAATTTAAATTTAAATTAATTAAAATTAAATAAAAGTTAAAATTCACTTTCTCAGTTCCTATAGCCATATTTCAAGTGCTCAAAAGCCACATGTGTCTAGTGGCTACCATTTTGGACAAAGCACATAGAGAACATTTTCCATCATCACAGGAATTCCTATTGGACAATAGTAATACAGAAGATTCGATAGATAAGTCAATCTTTAGAATGTCTTTCTATTTCTCTTAATATTATTATCCTCCATGAATGGATAAAGAAAATGTGGTATATACATACATGGAATACTGTTCAGACTTTAAAAACTAAGAGAATTCTGCAATATGTGACACTATGGATGAATCTTGAGGACATTATACTATTGAAACAATAAGCTAGTCACAGAGTGGAATGGTGGTTGTTGGGGGCTGGGAAATGGGGAGTTACTAATCAATAGCCATAAAGTTTCAGTTAAGCAAAATGAATAAGCTTTAGAGATCTGATGTACGACATTGTACTATAGCCAGCCATAACGTATAGTACACTTAAAAATTTAAGAGGGTAGATCTCATGTTTTTTGTTTTTACCACAATAAAATAAAACTATTTAAAAATAGGGTTATTTCTGGCATGGTCCAGAGGGAAACAATGACAGACAATAAATTATTCTTTTACTACTGAAAAAAAAAAAAGGTTATTATCTTCCTACCTTCTTTCTTTCTTATTGCCAATCCCTAGGCTTTATTAATTTTTCTACTCACTACCACTTGGAAATAATAGTCTTGGAAATATTTTACAATGTAAGATCAATAATGTTTTCCAATTTAAAAAGTCTTCCATGACTTTTTCATAAACAAAATAGTCAATATACCTTGAGTCACTTCTGTGTTATTTTCCCTTCCCCCAAAACTTAAGCGACAAAACAAAGTAAAACAAGCCTTCCTAATACAGTGTGCAATCCTTCGCAAATTCCAGTGACAAGACCATCTGTTCCTAGGGGGGTCCCTTGCTGAGAATTTTGTTTCTAGAATTAGAAACGAAATCCTCAATAGTTTGTTATACTTTCTATGGACAGGTCATTATTTCAGCTCCTAAATCCTATATTTCTACCACTGTCAGCAACTTTACAATAGGCTTCTGGGTTTTCCCTTGCTTCTCTACTTTCTGAAAAGTTTGAAACTAATAGAATACACATGTGAAAAGGTGACAAAAGTTGGAGTTCTAATCTATAGTCATGGATCACACAAAGGCCAGTGCATATATACACATCAAATCTCTAATCTTGGCCTTCTTAGCACACACTCTTTGACTGAGATAGTTTTGACAACAGAAAGTTTTATGTCTTAAAGTATTTCTAGCAGAAAAAAGATACATCATACTATTGTGTCTTCTTTTCTTAATGACTGAAAAGAACCAGCAAAACACAGACCTCGTACTTTAAATATGAAAACCAGAAAAGACAGCTAAAACTCTTGAAAGCAGCTGCCCATGGGAACAAGACTGGACTGAGGAATAATGGGACAGGAGTACTACGTTTAATCATAAGCCCTTCAGTTGACTTTTAAACCATGTGCATTTTTAAAACAATAAAATTGTTTTTAAAAAGTTTATGGAAACAACCTCATTGTCCACCAGTTGAGGAACTCATGAATTTTATGTATTAGAATAACAATGCAGCAATTAAAATAAGTGAACCATTGCAAAATACATGACTTTGTGAAATATTTGACTTTTGCCATATTTATATACATATCTTCCCTAGATTCTGTCATTTACAAAAACATCTTAATTAATGGCTCTCCCAATTTGTTAAGAAGAATATATCATTTCATAAATCTTCAAAATTTGCAAAATATAACAGTTTTTATGGATACACACATATTGAAAAAGCAAGAAAATATTACAGAAATGATACAGACACATTACAGAATAGCAAAAGTCAAAAAAACTGGAAAAGGTGGAAAGAGGGAAGGAGAGGTGGGAGGGAAAGGCAAAAGAGATGGGCATTGGGTGTGTCTATAATGATTTATTTTTTAACATCTGTCAAGTCTAGGTGATGAATGTTAAATCTAAGTGGTGGGTGTCATAATTTTCTGTACTTTTCAGTTGTTTTGAAACATTTCACTTTTTAAAAAAATTTCTGCTTCTTCATTGTTGAAAGTGTCCTCAGTTTATATAAGATTTTCCTACTAAGTACACACTAGTCTCTGGCGCTCCCATTAGGGAGCTGAGTAGAAACTATTCCTAGAAGAGCAGTTATCGTTATGAAACCCAATGTACAGGAGCACATGTAAAACAACAAGCCATAGTAATGACCCACCCATAAACCATCTAACCCAGAGATTCTTTCAAAAAATAGCCTCATGCACATCAGCCCTACTCAAGCCCTTGAACTTCCTTATTTTGCTTCCTTTTCCCATAACTTTGGAGGAAAAAATGAAGGTTAAATAGCAAGTATATAGATATTCAAATTTCTAAAAAACATTTAAACCTGCATTTACAAATACGGTCATTGAAAACAAAGGTTGATTTGATTGAGTACAGATGTATAGCACTCACTACAAATGCACCACTGTTGGAGAGCAGTAGCACTAGGTGCTGTCTGCGCTGAGCAAACAAAAAGAGAATCATGAGGATAAAGCTGAAACTAGGCCAATAGTTCAGGCATCTTCAAATTAAAATGCCATCCAATGTTAATTTTTATCTACTCTTATTCGTGGTTTTCCAGTAGCTCATTCTCAGAAAACTGCAGGCTACTTAACCGATTGAAGCTAAGGAGTGACAGTGGGTCACAGAGTTCTTGCATTTACATAGTTAAAAGGAAGAAGTCTCTCTTTTTCCATTTGTGTAGATTATATAAATTTCTTTAACTTTTAAAAAATCTACCATTAAAGATACGCTAAACATTGTCCATAAATCTAAACGTCATCTAAATTTTCAGCTCTATTTCTATTAACAAGGGAAGTTAATTGCCAGATAAAAGAACATCAATTTCAAGACCAGCTGTTTGGATTCATGTTAATAATGTTCAACACACTGTACATAATACGCTAAAGTATTCTGCTCACAAAATAGTCAAGGATGGCAATGTACCAGCATCTACCCAACCCACAGTCAATTTACTACCTTTCACACAAGAGATGTGTGCATTTTAACCAAAGTCTGCATTAAGTACTTACTTTCCCAATGTTATATTTTCAAGGTCAGAAACTAAACTGCCTCATCAAAAATGTCAAGGAATAAACATCTTAGAAGTGTCTGTTAAAAATTCAGATTCCCAATAGTCATGTTATTAAAATTAAATTAGCAGTTTTCAAAGTTGGTAACATAAACAAATTAAATTGCAGAATTTTAATATTTTATTTCTATAAATTTTATTATTTATCATGCTTAGTTCATTTGTAATAATTGACAAAAATAATGACACACAATTTAGCACTGTTTGACCTAAAATTTTAAATTTCTTACAGTGACGTGTATCATTTATATTTTTTATTTTCTGTATATTACTATGTTTTGACATCTTTAAAAACCTTTCTGGCTGGGGAGAGACTGCCCCACCCTGGACTAGCCAATTCTTAGAGATAGCAAAGGGCCCAGTGCGGAGCACAACCTTGATGTGTAAACTAACCAATCCAGAGCCATTCCTCCTCCATCTGGCCATACACCCCAGGAGGCAATAGTCTCTGCCTTAACCATCCCAGGGTCAGGTGGAAACTAGGGACCACCCTTAGAGCTTAGAGCCCATCAAAATTATTCAAACTAGCCAATCCTAAACTGTTTACCCTGCTCTGACTTGCCTTTCTCTCAGAAGCTCCAATAAATGCAGTGGCCTAGGCTCCCCTCCCTCCTGCCCCCATGCCTCCTGACCCATGTTAGTGCTTTCCCATGTGGCCCTTCATGGCACGGCGTGCCTCCTGTTTCTAGGACCTATGAGTATAACAAGCTTTGCTTTCTTGAACCTCTCCTGTGTCTCCTCTGTGGCTGCAGCTGACTGACCACCACATAGAAGAACACAGAAATGATGCTTATGTTTACTTGATTTCCTGTTTTCTACATGCAGCTTACTGCTGATTGTCCAACAGCATCTATTCTCCTCTTCTTACCTTTTAATGACAGACACCATTGGGCTTAGCTGGCTTGTGACTGTCTGGCTAGAGGTGACATTTCCCAGCCTCCCTTGAAGTTAGATGTGGCCCTGTGATTAGGTTTCGGTCAAACTTATCACATAGATGAGAAATAAAACTTGCTTTTGTTCATTTAAAAGGCAAAACTAGGAACAACACCTAGCAAGTGCGTAGAAGTGAGTTTCAATTCAATAGAGGAAATTACTTTCTAACAATGGCATTCTTTAGAAGCTATTGCACTTCTAACACTAGATCTTCTTTTCAAACAAAGGTTGGATAATGTGTTCCACCAACAAGATGGAAGGAGAGATTTCTGAACTAATAAAAGCTTGGAATAGATGGCCCTTAAAGTTTCTTCCAGCCCTAATATTCTACAATTCTATGCCAGGTAGGAAAAGGAAAGTTGGGAGGAGGGAGAGCAAGTGGGAGGGCCGTCGCGAATGAGGAAAGAAGAGGAAGGAGTGATGAAAAGGCAACGTTTAGAACTAAATGACTTATAAACAAGGAATAGATTACTAGGAAATACATCTGGATAACTAGAAAAAATTTTGCGTTAATTACCATTTTTATAGAATACCAAGTTTCACATATGTCTACCCTTTTTAAAAAACAACCACAAAATTTCAAACAAATAAGTTCAAAAATCTAGAGGGCAAGCTCTAGATTCAGAGTACAGAAATAAAATGATGTCTCATGGTTTTGAGATTAATTTGATTGGAACTCAAAATTCCTTTCATTAATCATTCATAGTAGCAGTTGGAGACTGTTTGATTGATTCAGGTTACAATCATGGAGTAATTTACTACTCTAATTTATAACATGATGTCTGTTGGCTTTTGCCATACTTATATTTCTATCTGCCCTAGATTCTGTCACTTTATAAACATCTTAGTTAATGGCTCCCTCCAATTCATTAATAAGTTTAATTAAAGTAAATAAAGGAAAGGACTATATCACACTAATCTTTGCACTGTCTCTAGTGCCTAACACAATGCCATTGTTATAAGCAGGGCTCAGAAATACATTTGTTCAACGATCATTTCTGGAGACTCGACTCTGTACCTGCCAATGCTCTGGGCACTGGAAGCAACACAGTGCTGTTTAAGAGCATGGATTCCAGGTCAGATGAATCTGTGTTTGAATCCCTGCTCTGCCAGGGATTAGTATACCTCAGCTTCCTCACCTATAAAATGGGCAAAATAAGACTACTTCCTTCCCAGGCAAAGACTGAACAAGATAATATGTGTAATGTGCTTAGCATAGCCTGGCATATACTAAGTCCTCAATAAATGTCATTTATAAGTCAATCACACTTTTCCACGAGGAAAGAACTTTGGCCTATTTTTTTTTCATTATTGTATCCCCTGCACCAAAAACAGTGCCTGGAGCATAGTAGGCACTTTAAAAAAAGTGTTTTAAATAAATGAATCAGTAATCAAGACATATTTTTTACATAAAAATGATTTCATTTTCTTCATTACACACATTTATTTCAAGAATTAGAAACTACATGGACGGATGCTCTATTAAGACAAAATGAAGAAGAACTTCTTCTAACATACCAAGATAATTTACTTCCTTCCAGAATCCTGCCTTAGAAAGACAAGGTAAATTATGTTATATAGGCAATAACTACTTACAGTAAAATGCTTACCTTTATATATAACCTAAATAATAAAATCTTCAAATTGGCAAGAAATGTGGTTAATTAAGTATACCTATTAGATACTCAGAGAAGTCTTAACACATAAGAACTTGAAAAAGCCAAAATGACAAACTCTTGATTTTCTTATTTATCTCAGGACTACACAAGACAAATGCTTTTAACAGAAGAAATTAAAATGCTAATAATTTCAATCTTATCTCCCAAGAACAACGTATTTTAGCAGTTCCTGGTGTATGGCAAAATAGCTTACACACATTTGTTTTTCCATTCAGTACTCCAGAAAATTTGCCAAAAGGCAGGATTCCAGATGGAAAAGAAGAAAGAAAACATGAACTTGAATAACCCACAAGGATTTATATTTGAGAATGATATAATGACTGTACCAGTGACGAGGAGGTATAATGGATGCCAGTCCCTTCCCTCTGCCAGATTTTCCTTCTCCCTTTTTCTGAGAACCCTCACTCCCTTTGGAGAACTGCTCCTCACTCTTCCAACCATGTAATTCTGGCAGGGCTGTCAATTACAGTATTATAGCCTCCTTATATACTGAAGTGGGAAGAAGAAATCTGTTTCCTCTAAGGTGGCTAAGCTTGGATATGTGTAAATTTTCAACTGCCTGAGTCATCTCTCTCACCACTACGACATAAAAGAAGCCTCTCTCTGTAGGAGAAAAGAAAAAAATTAAGATAGACACACAGAGATGTGGAAGAGGTGTAGAGACGAATGGGAGCTAAAACATGAGAGTGTGAGAAGAAAAAAGAGCAAGAGAGAAATAACCGTTGACATCATTCTAAATCTTTGGATTGAGGAAGCTTGAGGCAGGCCAGCTAGTCCACGTCTAAGCTACTTAAGGACCTGAGACAACAATTCTCTGTTTTTGCTCAAATTTCCTTGAGTTGTACTTCTTTCATTTATAATTAAAAGAATTCTGATGAATACAGGAGACTGGATTTTACTAAATCACAAAGTATCTAGAGGTACAGTATAAGTCTATAAATCAAAATATTTCGAGTCTTATGAATATTCAAGATTTTCAAATATGGGCACTATTTTTTGTTTTCTGTTTTTAATATTTTATGCATTTATATGATTAAAACTGCAAAACATTTGGGTTTTACTCATTGAAACTATTCTCCTCTTTGAGATGTGAATTTCCACACAATTAAAACAAGTGTGAAAAATATAACATTCATTTTGAAGAAATTATCTTAGCAACTCAAGTTAATATAATGATTATTAAGTTAACCACAGAGGCAATAGCATGAGGATTAAAGAGCATGGACTCCGAAGCCAGATTGCCTGGACTCCAGTTTAGCTCTGCCACTTACCAGCTGTGAGATCTTGGTCAAGTTATTCAACAGAGGTATGTTTCCTACCTGGAAAACGGATTATGGTGTGATTAAAGGATTTGAAATGTGAAAAGTGTTTAGAATAGTATTTGACCCAACATAAGCATTACATTAGTGTTAGTCTTTATTATTACTATTGTTACTATCTAAAACAATTGATGTTACGATAAGCAGATCCTAAATTTCACCGTCGTGACTTGGCAACAACAATGCAGTGCTTTGAAACGCCTCATTGGTTGGCTGATTTTATCATCTCACGCTTTTCTTCAATGAAAGAAATGAGAATCAGAATGGCCTGATAGATGCACAAAAGTTCAGGTGTACACATGCAAACCCATGAAGCATTTTACCAACGTTAGTAGTGACAAAGCCAAGAACAGCGTGCTGGTTCCCTCTGCCACTTAGCCTTTTTCCTCTAAGGGAGAGGAATGTAATGGAAAGCAAATTGTCTGACTGGGAACTTGAGACTGAAATAATCTAATGCTGATTGATTCTACTTATTTTCTACAACAATGTGATAATATGCTTAACTGTATTTAACTATCCAAAATGACTATCTAAAGAATTGTTTCTTTTTAAATCTATAGCCATGCAGTGCATCTCCAAACTACATTCCTTGACTGAGCATCTCTAGAGATACCAATATTTGTTTGTCCAGTACAGCGAGGGTCAGAAGAGTCTACACCCTTGAATGGATTTTGTGTAGAAACAGATGATGCCCTGGACAGAGCTAAATAGATCGCTTTAAATTTTAAAGTTTAAAACAAAGGCTTTGGAACTCAGAACTCAGCTCATTAGGAAATTTTCTTCTAAATTTTGCTTGTTAACTCAAAGACAAAGTCTATAAAGCATAAGGAGTGCATGTGTGTATGTGTGTGTGTGCGTGCACGCATACAACTTATTTAGTGGAGTTAAATTAGGGTCTTAAATATTGTAAAAAAACACTGAGTATCATAACTACACTAGAAGCTCTCTACAGTTTTGAGATCTGAGACTAGTTTCATGAAAAGGCACCAATCATGATGAATTTAAATCAGGAAGTGGGTCAGCCTTATAACTTTGAATGACGTCTACAATAATACATATGGAGGGACTCATTCATATTTCGCAAACCAAATAGAATATTTGAGAGGTTAATGATTTTTAAAAACTATCTGGAAAGCTAGCCTAAAGCAGTGAGCAGCTTTAGTATGCATTAAAAGAGAACTTAGGGGCAGATTTCCACCTCGAGGTACCGTTTAGTCTTGCTTTTCAAAAAAAAAATGATTCAACAACTGCAAATAAAAAATAATCATCATATTGAGAAATTTAATCCAGAAAGAGTCAAGAAAGTGAACATTTGTAAAGAGTCACATTCTGAAGAAGGGAAATCTAGTACCTTATTTTTGAAATGAAAATTTTATGTTCAATATTACTACAAACTATTTTAGAAAATTCAAAGTAACATTCTTGGGACATTATGAATATTAAAATTTAAAGCAATTTATTTGTTGTCCATACAAAATATTCTGTTCCAAGTGTTTCCCAAAGTGACTTTCTTGAAAAATTAATCCCACAGAATTTCTACAGACAGTAGGTACTAAATGTGGGAGGTAGCTTAGAATAGAAGTTGAGTTCAAATTGTGCCCACCCCATTTATGAGACCTTGGGCAAATTTCTTAACTGCATTATGTCTCAGTTTCCTAATCTGTGAAACACAGATAAAAATGGTATCTACATCTTAGGATTAATGTATGAAGTTTTTACATTAGTGTCTGGTACATAGTAAGAACTCAATAAATGGCTGCTGCCATTGTTGTTATTAGTATTACTATTATGTAAAAAAAAGTACCGTGGACAAATATGTTTGTGATATGTTGGGTTAATAATGTGAAACAGATTTCTCTTCTGAAGGATTTGAGAGTTACTAATATGTTAACGTTCATAGTGACTCTGCAAGGGACAAATAAAGTTTGCGGTTTTTTCCAAAACTTTTTCATTGGAACCATTTTTTTTCCCCTCAGTATACTTTTCAAAACTAATGTCAAAGAACAGACTTGAGGGATGTAAATAAATAAAAAGAGGATCTCAAAAGAATTTTTTTCTTTTTTTTTTTTTTTTCCAAGGAAGATTAGCCCTGAGCTAACTGCTGTCAATCTTCCACTTTTTGCTGAGGAAGGCTGGCCCTGGGCTAACATCCATGCCCATCTTCCTCTACTTTATATGTGGGACACCTACCACAGCATGGCATGCCAAGCAGTGCCATGTCCGCACCCAGGATCAGAAGCAGCGAACCCCGGGCTGCTGAGAAGCGGAATGTGCGCACTTAATTGCTGTGCCACTGGGCTGGCCCCAGAATTTTTTTAAAAGATAATACAAACTAATCTGCCTACTGTAATCACTCTACTAAGGAATTTTTAAAATTCTAGTTCTAAAATCAGACAACCTGGCTTTGAGTACCAGCTCCACTGCTTACACACTATGTGATCTGACGCAAAAAAATGAACTTTTCTAAGCCTCTGCTTTGTCATTTGTAAAATGGTGATGGTAACCATACCAATGTCACAGGATTGCTGTAAGGATTAAATGGAACAACACTTGTAAAGCATTTGCCAGAATGCTGTCAAGCTGGGGAAAGAGATTCTTCTTGGGGCATCCTGTGCATTAAGGTGTCTCCATTCCCCCACCCACAGCCAGATGAGGCTATGACCTTCTGAAGCCAAACATGACTTGAGAACCAGGAGAATTCAGATATCCGTAAATATTTCTGGTGAAGGCCACAATATTGCTAGTGTAAGATTTTCTTGAATGATAACATAAATCCCAACCATAAAAGAGCCATAGCATTACAAATCATTCAGCTTCTCAGAGCCTTTATGACTGAGCTCTGCTGAGATTGTGTCACTGCCAGGACTCTGGGGGCCAAAGGAAGCTGCTCAGAGGGATCTTGTATTTTCTCTTGCTTTGTGTGTACTTGCTTCTGCTAGATTTCTACATTCTTTCCCATTGTAAATTGAGAAGTTAATATAATTAATTATATTGGGTTTGGGTGGGGCAGAGGAAGGGAGTTCTTTCTATCTATAGCTAAACAGAAATACTATAGCAAAGCACTGCCTCAACATAAGCACATAACGAATATTAACTGTTGGCTATCATTCTCATTCAGGGTTGGATCTGGGGTTTTGGCAGCCAAAAGCTTATAAAATTTGAGAGGACCCTATCTGAAAAAAAGAGAAACACAAAATTACAAAACCAAAGTTAGACACAGGACCTTAGAAGGAATTCATTCAAATAGGGGGCCCTGAAGCATAAGCTTCACTAGATTTACAGTAAATCTACTCAGATGACAGAAAATACATGCTTCTGCTTTCAGGGACTTTTAAATAAAATAAGGGAAGCAAGACAGTACCTATGAGTTTAAACAGCAGTCTAAAATGTGAGTCAGTATGGTGACACATAAATGTCACAAAGCAGCATATAACAAATTTCTAAGTGAATAACACAGCTAATATATATTACAGAAGTTCAAAAGATAGAGCAATCACCATGAACTGGATTATCTTAGAAGGCTTCACAGAGGAGGTGACATTTTAATCAGGTCAAAAAGAGAGGACTTGGGTAGGCAGAAAGAAAGGAAAATTCTATGTGTTCAAATCATTTAAGTTAAAATGAGCAGACCTGTTTGGTTGAAGTAGAAGTTGTTGGGAGGATAGTAATTGAACATGGTCAGAGAAACAGTCAATCAAAGGCAATGAATAGCAGTCTAACAATTCAGGGCTTAACCTTACAAGCAAAATGAAGTTACCAACCTTCTTGAAAAGAATGGAGTGACATAATCGAAGTGGTGTTTTAGGACCACCAGCCAGTTCATTGCACATTAAATAAGCACAATCATGAAGACATCGGCAGCAGGAACACTATCTGAAGTCGTTTAATAGTGTAGACAGTCCTCAAGAAGTAGTACTCAGAAGCTGAGGATGGAAGTGAAGGGACATATTCAAGGGAGATCCTCAAAGAAGAATCAACAGGATTTGAAAATATTCGGGGGGGGGGGGGGGGGGGAATGAAGAGATCAACAATGACACCAGGGATTTCAAGGCTGGTAACTTGGAGAATAACTTAGCAGAAACTGGAAAGTCAGAAATAAAAGTGATTTTGTACAAAGACAAGGTCAGATTTGGGTGTGAAAAGTTTGGGACAAAGAAAGAATATATTTAGGTTTTCATGTCCACAACAAAGTTGTAAATATGGCTTTAAGAGAGATTCTGGAGAAGAAATTTCTACTCATTAAATTCTGGTAATGTAAAAAATGACTTTTTTAAACAGGATAACAGCATATTTTGGAAGGTTCTGGATTTGGAGTCAAGAGGCTTCAGATGCAGATACAGGTGTGTTTAAAGTAGCTAGACTACTGGATCCCTCACAGGCAGAGTTCCAAGACACTGCAACTCCATGAAGAGGTCATCTTGTTTTCCCTAAAAAGTTCAATGAAATCTATAAATTACAAAAACATAAAATATCTGGATGAGAAATCTTTCTCAAAATGTATAGATAACTTTTTTAGTAATAAGTATTACAATACTACTGTAAAATTAAAAAAGGGTGGTTTTAATTTGTAGTTCCTAGAATTAGAGAACACTGTCAATTTAAATTCAATGATGCGAAATGGTGTCAAGATGGCAGCATAGTCAGACTTTGAACTCACCTCATCCCATGGACACAACAAATTTATAACTACATTTGGAACAATTCCCCTGAGAGGGAACTGAAAACTGGATAAAAAGAACCCCCATAACAAGAGGTAGTGCTGACTGAGGTGGAAGAGGCAGAAATTCCTTTCTGGAGAGAAAAAAGCCACCTTTGAGCCATGGTGCTTCATGGTTGGCCAAGAGCAATCTTAGGATACAAAGCCTTCCCTGGAGGAATGGGGGATCTGAGCATGGGATCATTAGCACAATAAGCAGCTTTTGGACTCAGCACAACTGAGATGAGTGTCATAATATCTGGCTTTGCTGGCTATTAACTGCAAACAGGAATACCCCCAGAAA